CTTTGACTGTGCTCCTAAATTTTTTAAGTTAGGAGCACAAGCGCTCCTAAAAAGAAAAATAAGCGTAGAGCCCTGTGAATGCAAGAACATGTACGCCAATCTAAAACTGCTTAACCAATCAGACAGCAAGGAACCGCCCAAACCGCAACTGTAAACACAACATTAAGAAGAGATAGTTTTGGACACATTTATTATGATTATTAATCAGTGTTGACATTGCCAGGTATTTAGAAGCTTGTGCCCATCCCTAGCCAACGAAGCTGCAGTTTTTTTTTTAACCTCCTCTGAGCCTGTGCGCAATCCCTGCATCTGTCACTGCATCATTGCATCTTTCCATCTCTTTCACAAATATTGAAACTGTACAACCTGTACTGCAACATGCCCCCATTTGACACCAATAACGAAGCACAATATGGGAACACAGGAGGGGGGTGAATTAGGATGGAGTATAAAAAGAAAAAAAAATGAAGGACAATGCAACTGATGCCAGAATGAAAACCTTCCATGCACTCTTGTTATTCCCTAGCATTTGATCACCATCTCTCCAAGCGAGGCCCTAGACTGCAGTGCGCTAAGAGGAAGCCCTTGTGGAGGGCAATGAGACACTACACACCTCGCACCTTCAGTGTCACATCTTCATCCCTCTGCTGGTTTTTCCTCTTCCTGCCTCTGCGTCTCATAAACAACATCCCCCCGTCGACACGCGTAAGGATCTCCTGCACGTTCTCCATCCCTGCATTTCTTTCAAAATGAGAAAATCTGCCGACTGTTCTCCTCTGTCATCCTTTCGCCTCTGCAGTGCCCCCTCCCACTCCTCTCCCCATTTCCGCATGTCTGATCACATGGTCTGCTAAACCAATTTAGTCATTCGTCCTCCACTTCCCCAGCCTCTACAAAAACAGTCTGCACACAACAATCTATCCAATCCTCCTTACTTTCAATCAGTGTTAATTTTGTTGACGAATAAATTGTCATAATTCTCGTCAACATTTTTTTCACTGACGACAACGAGACAATAATGAACTAAAACTCTTTTTGAATGACAAAAACTATGACGAATATTTATTGACATTTTCATCAACGAATAAAAACGAGACAAAAATGTTAGGGAGGGACGATTTGGGAAGGGGTCGACCGATTATCGGCCTGGCTGATATTAAGCATTTTATGATTATCGGTATCGGCCATTTTCAAAACCGATTCGCCGATAAAATAACTTAATTTTGAAACGTGCTATTTGGCTCTGATGCAGCCTGTCAGAACTCACCACTCTGTGGCCTAAAGCAGTCTCCGCCCACCACCCATCTAATTTGATGGAACAGTACACACACATATAGTATGTAAACAAACTTTTATTTTGAATGGATTAATCGCAATTAATCGTTTTGCAGCCCTAGATCTTCTAACTACCTGCTACTAATGGCGCTTTTCCACAACCAAGGTAGTACTAAAAAAGTACCAGGTACTGTACCCAGTGGAAAACCCCCCAAAAGTGAACCGTACCGAGCTGTACCGTGCCGTACCATGCAGTGGAAAAGCGCCATAATTCTCTAAAAGCAGCTTTAAACAACAGAGCCACTATGTTAAAACAATCACACATTAATAATTTCTCTGCATGCACAAGTCACCTTGTCAGCAACTAACATACAGCATTTTTTACACATTAAGTTGTCAAATAACAATATTTTGTGGATTTAAGAATTCAAATAAGAGTGTTTTAAAATGCAACTTGATCAGACGGTCATGTGCCTTGATTTTAATTTAAAAAATATATATAATTACATATTATATATGATTAAATATGAATTTAACTATGATATTGGTGGCTTTTTGACAGTCTCATATGTGAGGTAAATGCTGTTGAATATGCTTTCAACTGAGGTATTGTTGAGGTTAATACAAAAATATATGAATGTGAATAGAACGAAAGTAACCTGTCAGTTTGGATCAAGGGAATACGACCATTTTAAAAATCACAGGTAAAAAAAACATTAAACCATTTCAAAATTGTGTTTCATTTTGTGGTTTGGCTGATAGATGGTTGCAAGACGAAGATATTCGCGTCAACCAGTCAATCTCCAAGCAGGGTTTTTCCCCCTCACCACCGTTCATTGCAATGAGGACGCTTTGTGAAATTACAGAATTATTTTACTGATTTTTGATGTGACAATGAAAATGTTTCTTGATCATAAAATTGTCAGGGTCAGTGGTTTCTGGCACTTGCTGGTCACGTGGTTCTTCTGCGAGTCAGCCAAAAAACCCAATAATTCAATATCTACTGTATCCAACCTCTCCACGAGAGAGCCAGACTTGCCATAGTTTTTAAGAAATCTTTAACTGACATTGACATCTGTTCAAAATTTTAAACCTCTGAGCACAAACCGATACAGAATAAATAAAACATTAAATAAATTGAAGACATTTTAGTGATGCCTTGCAGATTCTTTTTCCCACTCAAAATGACAGCATAGTGAACATTGCCAACAGCTTAAACAGTGCATATGAAGAGTTTGGTTCCAAAACTTTGACAAAAAATTGACTCTGCAGAATGCGATATATCCGCGCAACCAATCACAGCGCACCATTCCACGCACTCTAGACAGTAATGGCGGCGCTTTGAATACACCCGGCATCCTAGTTTTCCTCATCTATTTTGTACTTTGTGATCAACAAACAAAAAATTTATGGCTGCACGATAAATCGCATGCGATTGTCATGCGCATCTCATCAGTAAAGCCGGTTCTGTGAATAGTAAATCTCCATCACGTGCTTTCAAATGGAGCGGCATTTAATACAGAGGCGTAGATCACTGCTATATCGCGTTCATAATCGCAGACGAGTCACATTCGATTACGAACGAGATATTGCGTAGCTTGTCAGTGTTTTTATTTATGCCATTAATGTTTTTGTTAATACAGCATATAGCACTAGTCAACTAAATGAATGTAACATGGCAAAGATGAATGCACTTTTGGAAGTTGAATGTAAGGGAAATGTCATTTTGGAATTTCTGTGGTTTAATGTGATATTGTTGTTCATGTATGTTCATGATGAAATTTTCTTTTATTGTTGTAATTAATTTATAGCATTAACAAGATGACCCGTTGAATTCTTTTTGGAGCTATGACTGATTGAATGTATTTTTAGACCAGTGCCTGCATATAAGATTAGTATTGACCAAGTTCAGAGGCTGTCATATGTGGATCAACTTACTATGTTGTGTATTACTTTTAAATTACTTTTATATTGATTCAATGGATTTATTGCATTTTGGGGAAAAAATAATACAATTTTATAATAAATCTTTGAAAATCAAAATCTGGATTTGAATTTTTTATGTTATTATAACCTAAAGATTCTATGTGAAAGTTTGAAACAGAAAATAGTGGTTTTCATCTTGCCACTTTCTTGGTAAAGAAAACCAAAATGGTCAAATTAACCAAAATGGATTTATAGCGTTTTGGAACTAAACTCTTAATATATACAATGTACCCTCCAAATCAAAGCATTTTATTTTCCAAGTATCCACTTGTGCTGCACTTACCAGTCGCTTGCTGTAACGCGGCTTGGGATTGTCCATTGTCAGGATGAAGAGTCGAGCGCAGCCCGCCCGTGCAAGCGGCGAGCCAAGAAACGCGCTTCTGTCAGTTTACCGCGTTAGAAATAACCGCCCCAATTGTGTTTGATGGCCTCTTTATTACAGTGTCCGTTTAATCGAAATAACGCTACTTTACATGAATACTTGCTGTATAAAAATCACTGTTTTCAAATAGTTAAGAACTCGTCAGCAGGTTCGTTCACACAGAAGCGGGTTTAACGATTTCAACGTGTTCTTTAATACTACAAAACTATTGTATTATAATCTCACACTAACAAGAGCAAAAAACAGCAGGTTATTAAAGCAACCATGAAAGCTAGGTTGTCAAGCTAAGCGCTGCTAAGGATAGCGAACGAGCATCAGCACCAGCTAACCAGCCCGGAAACACGGTCGTAAAAATATTAAAATTACAAAGCGATATGATGTCTTGCTTATACATACGGCTTATATGTACAGCGTCTAATATTTCAGTCAACCATACAGAGTGAGGCGAGAAATTAGGAGCGTATATTTATCGAGTAACATACGCTAATCCTGGTTCAAGTTTCAAATAAAACCATATTTCCACAAGACTTAAACTCGGGCTCACAGTGGGGAAAATCCAGCGGTTAAACCAGTCCTCGTGTATTTTTTACCATTAAAATATGCACTCCGACTAGACTCGTCTAGTAACTTTTCTATTCTAAGTGAAAGTAAGCATTATTTAGACAGCTCCACTGAGTGAATTCACGACAAAGTTAATGTAGTAGATCAGTCGCCATTTTCACATCGTCACAAAAACCCACGAAGTAAGCGCCGCCCACTACTGGTTCAGCATCCAATCACAGAAAAGTGCGACGCCATCACCTTTGATCTCATTGGTTAGTGTCGCTATCACTTCACTGGGAGGCGGTACTAAGAGACAAATAATAGTACACGTAACCAGAGGAGCCACGCTCTCACCGGTTCACTAAGAAGAACCGGTTAAATCGAACGATTCGTTCTTGAACCGGACATCACTAATCAATACAACTACACAAAGATTGGTTTTTATGTGCTGAAAGTGTCGCGTTGCCAACCAATCAAATATTAAATATCAACCCACTCACTCAGTTTAAGCTAAATTTCTGCAACAAAACTACTTTCATCGTTATGAGCAATATTATTAAAATATATATTTGAAATACCTTCGATCTTCCGTGGCTTGACGTCCCATCGCCTGCGGATGTCCACTCCATGACCGAATATAAAGCTCTCGCTTGGGTCGTCTGGTCAAAGAAATCTACATTTCTTTCGAATTAGCACATTGACAAAGAAAGAACTTCACATAAGGTCTTCATTAAATCCTCGACATTTCTTTGGGTCCAGTAAACTGTCGGGAAGAACTGTACACACTAAATTGTCGGTACGCCACCACAGGCAACTCCGCATGGTAAAACTTTTCGTCTAGTAGTTTAACCTCCAAGTGATCAGGAAGTAGTTGCTGATTGGCCAGCCTTCAGCTTAACGCGCAGCCACTCATTGGACTAAACAGCTGTCGACGATTACTGCACGCAGAAGAGTTTCTCTCATAAATAAAAATAACAATAATTTACTGTTTTTAAGCCTGGACGAAAGAACGAATAACACAGATTTTATACAACCCTGGTCTTTTAATCACAATTACTCAAGACAACTCAAGTCAGACTAATGTATAATTACTTTATAGTGTCTACAAAATATACAGTTCCAATATTATCACGTACATAAGAGAACAGTACCACCTCAACCTAAGAAATAAGAACTATGTGCTACTCATCTACACTAAATAAGCAAATGGTCAGTAAAGAATTTTGGCTAATCCTAAAATAAAAGTCAAACCAACGTAAATGTTTAAGAATCAAACTGTTTTTTTCCTAACAAGGACAAAATATTTGTCACTGCTAATGTAAATTGTTTCAATTGACAGTTACAAAAAAATGAGGCCTCAAAAAACAAAACTTAGCCTCTTATGTATCTTTTATCGTCATATATGGGCTATATCGCAAGTTCCCAAAAAACAATTAAATAAATAAAAGCAATATTTCATACCACAGCCCTAAAATAAACAGACAGCTTGCATATCACAATTTACCGTGAAGCCTCTAACAATGCAAGGCCAGTTGATAAGACAGGAAGAACATAAAACACAAAAAACAAAATGATGGGAAAATGAGATGAGCAAGCACTGGAAAACATGTTGTGTGTGTAGGGATGTTTCGGGTTCATCTGCATTAAGATGCTTCTCTTGATTCTTGATAGAGACACGACTTGGAGAAGTAGACAACCTCTTTGCCTGGAAAAGACAGGATGTCACTCACAAATGCTCAACATGCAGTTTTATGAATTTAGCTTTATGAATGCTTACTTTGACATTTATGTCAGCCAGCTATACACCAGAGAACCACCGATGACCGCAAGAATTGTGCAGCACACCATGATCATCATTTTCTTCTACAAAGGTGCAAGTGGGCAGCCAGTGACAGCATGATAATGATATAATGATAGTGGAGGAAAGCAAAGGGGAAAGGATGATTGGGAAGAAGAGATTTGGAAGGTGTAGAGAACAGACATACAGAGATGAGGTTGAAATTATGAGGAAGAAACAGAGGACATCAATGTATGAAGAAAAATAGAAGATGGAACAATGAAAATAAAAAAAATTTTTTAAATTCTTGCTGCAAGAAAAATAAAAAATTGAAAATCTCAGCACTGGTAGTCTACATTTAGTACAAAATATACTCTAAGTGAAAGTGTCGTTTATTATATGACACAATTGCTGTACTCATAATTTCCCAGCTCACCCTTTGTGCTTCTTGTTGGAACTTGGCAGCCTTTTTAGTGTCAGCCACGGCTCTTTCAACAAAACCCACAGACTGGTCCATGTTGCTCTCAATCCTGTCAATCATGCTTCCCTGTTGACAAATGAGAACAAAATGGTGTCCAAAAGCAGTTTTAATCCTAAGGTCTTCAAAACAGGGCTATAGCTTTGCTTTATTCTCCTGAAAAGACAAACACATGTACCTGATTTTCCACCAGCACTGCAATGTCCACAAACATGTCATGCAACTCTTTTATGCTGCTCTCCAGTCGCATAATATCTTTGTGTCGAGCCTCAATCTCACTTAGTGCCTGTTTTGATATCCCAGAGTCCATAATCTATAGAAAAAAGGAAGTTAAAAAGAAAACATTTAAAAGGTTCTTTTTTTTTAAAGAAAATAAGCATTTATATAATCAAAATACAGTACAAATATTGTGAAATATTACAATTCAAATTATTTTCTTTTTTAATATATTTTTAAATGTAATTTATTCTTGTGATGCAAAGTTTAATTTTCAGTCCAGTCTTTAGTGTCACATGATCCTTCAGAAATCATTCTTATATACTGATTTGCAGCTTAAGAAACATTTTCTATTTTTATCAATGTTGAAAACATTTGTGCAGCTTACATTTTTTGTACACCAGGATAATTATTTTCAGGATTCTTTGATGAATAGAAAATCCAAAAATAAGTGATTATTAGAAATATAATTTTATTTTAACAATGTTACTGTCACTTTTTATTTTTTTAATGTGTCCTTGAATAAAAGTATACAAAAAATTGGAATATCGTGAAAAAGTTCCTTTTTTTTTGTAACTTATTTCAAAAAGTGAAACTTTCATATATTCTAGATTCATTACATGTAAAGTAAAACATTTCCAAAGTTTCTTTGTTTTAATTTTGATGATTACAGCTTATAGCTCATGAAAGTCAAAAATCCAGTATCTCAAAATATTAGAATATTTACATTTGAGTTTCATTAAAGGACCATCCCTACAGTATAAATTCTCTTATATCTCTTTTTCTTTGAAACCACAATAATGGGGAAGACTGCTGACTTGGCAATGGTCCAGAAGACGATCATTGACACCCTCCACAAAGAGGGTAAGTCACAGAAGGTCATTACTGAAACAGAGTGCTGTATCAAAGCATATTAAATGCAAAGTTGACTGGAAGGAAGAAATTGGGTAGGAAAAGGTGCACAAGCAACAGGGATGACCGCAAGCTTGAGAATACTGTCAAGCAAAGCCGATTCAAACACTTGGGAGAGCTTCACAAGGAGTGGACTGAAGCTGGAGTCAGTGCATCAAGAGTCACCACGCTCAGACGGCTTCAGGAAAGGGCTACCAAGCCACTTCTGAAGCAGAAACAACGTCAGAAGCATCTTACCTGGGCTAAAGAGAAAAAGAACTGGATTGTAACTTATTTCAAAAAGTGAAACTTTCATATATTCTAGATTCATTACATGTAAAGTAAAACATTTCCAAAGTTTCTTTGTTTTAATTTTGATGATTACAGCTTATAGCTCATGAAAGTCAAAAATCCAGTATCTCAAAATATTAGAATATTTACATTTGAGTTTCATTAAAGGACCATCCCTACAGTATAAATTCTCTTATATCTCTTTTTCTTTGAAACCACAATAATGGGGAAGACTGCTGACTTGGCAATGGATCCAACCATACAGATGAGCTGAAGGCCGCTATTAAAGAAACCTGTGCTTCAATAGTGCCTCAGCCATGCCACAGGCTGATCGCTTCCATGCCACACCTCACCGATGTTGGAATTTGTGCTAAAGGAGCCCTGACCAAGTATTGAGTGCATAAATGAACATACTATAAAAAACTTGAACGTTTCTGTTTTGCAAATCCTTTTTTGATTGATCTTATAGGACATATTCTAATATTCTTTCATGAGCTGTAAGCTCTAATCATCAAAATTAAAACAAAAAAACTTTTGAAATGTTTTACTTTACATGTAATGAATCTAGAATATTTGAAAGTTTCACTTTTTGAAATAAGTGACAAAAAAAGGAACTTTTTCACGATATTCTAATTTTTTTAGATGCACCTGTATATTTCTTTCAAAAAAATCTTACGGACTCCAAACTAATGAACAGCAGTCTAAGTAAAATATCTTACACCCCATACAAATTACAGACAAGTTATATTCTTACAACAAAACATCACACGTAGAAGTTATAGAATAGTACCCACTCCTGCTGTGAATACTGCAGCGTTTCCTCCATCCAGCATTTCCTCCAGCTCTTCATCAGTTGTGGCTTTGCCAGCTGTAAGGCAGGATTCAACAATGGCCTTAAACATGTATAGCCTATAACATTGTGATCACTGACTTTCTTTTTAATCCAACCCTAAAGAAGGTCTGTGTATGCGTTTGTCACTCACTGATCTCCAGCTGTCTTTGGATGCGCCCTTTGCTCTTCTCTCTAAACTCCATTTGGGCTTCATTGTATTTGGTCATCACTTCTACAAATCTCTTAGCAAGAATGGCATGCTAAACAAAGGAGATAAACACTGTATGATTAAAAACATACTACTTGTGGAAATCCCTGTGGTTTATTCGAAGGGCTAGTGGTTACCTGAGATTTCTTTATCCGGATATCTGCTGAAACCCTCTCTTCAGAGTTAGCTGCCAAACTCTGCTCAATGCCTGTTTTCAAGGTTGACCAAATAATTCAACTCAGAATTTGAGATAATAGTGATGTAGCATATTGTCCAATTATCACTGGAGAAAACATTTTTATTTTCATCAACAAACAAAAGAAGAAAAGAAAGCTGACTTTTGAGTTTGTTGCGAGCATTGTTGGCCAGTTTCTTTATCTCATTGGTAACTGCTTCCAATTCATCCTGTGTTTCTGGTTGAGAAATGAGATGAGAGATATTTAAAGCATGAATGGGGTAGGGAAGCGATAGAGAAAAATGATAAATAATTTATAAAATGAAGGTAAAATGTGATTAGACTAACTCTGGTCTGATGTAGGCGCAGAGAGGATGACAGAATACAGTCGCTTTATCTCGCCTACATTTTCATCAATCTTGTCTATACTGGTGCGGATTTCTTCAATCTGTACAACACATACAGAAAAAATGTCCATTTAACTGCACTCTTAAAAATCAAGGTTCTTTATTGGCATTGCTGGTTCTATAAATAATCTTTAATATCCATGGAAACGTTCCATTGCACTAAAAGTTATTTTTATTGGAAAAGGGTTCTTTCGACTGTTAAAACTTTGGCACTGCTGTTAAAACCCCCTTATGGAACCTTTATTTTTAAGAGTGCGTGACATTCAAATTTGCATATTCATTTGAATACAGTGTAGCTGATTCACATATACCTGAGTGAAGAACTCATCCATAAATTCTTTATTTTCCACTGGAATTTCCACATCATCAGGAGTTTGATCCGACTTCTGTTTTGACATAAACAAACAGCAGAAAGTTTAATAACTTGGCAGAAATAGTGTTTTCTCTGCCTTAAAACAAGCTTTTTAGCTGGTTTAAGCTGGTCTTCCAGACTGGTGTTTAACTCAACGACCAGCTGGTCTCCAAGACTGACCAGCCAACAGACCAGCTTGACCAGGCTGAGAGACCGACCAAGACCAAACTACATTAATCTGGTTAAGATTTTTTTTCAGCAACCTGTACTTGTTTTTGTCAGCAAGTTAAAGATAGAATCTATTACAGCTTATCTTCACTATTTCAACAGTTTTTAGCTGGTTTAAGCTGGTCTTCCAGACTGGTGTTTAACTCAACGACCAGCTGGTCTCCAAGACTGACCAGCCAACAGACCAGCTTGACCAGGCTGAGAGACCGACCAAGACCAAACTACATTAAACTGGTTAAGATTTTTTTTCAGCAACCTGTACTTGTTTTTGTCAGCAAGTTAAAGATAGAATCTATTGCAGCTTATCTTCACTATTTCAACAGAAATTAAACCTTACAGAAATGTAACACTTTTATATTTAATGCACAGAATTATATTTTAAATACACAGAATTGGCCCCATGACAGGGCAGGAGGACACGGTTGCTATGGATGCGCGCGTCTCGCATCACGCGTTTCTACGTGCCTAATGGCAGTTCAGATACGGTTTACTCTTTTAACCTATTTGTTGTATAATCATGAGTGTAATCTCCGGATAATGATGACCTATTGCTAACATTTACAGATAGATAACCTACCCGTAATCGACAATAACTGAATAAAATTACCTCAGTTAGTCAATATTGAGCTCAGGACCTCCCAGGTAAGTTAACTTAAAGGTCAAACAGCAGCAAATCAGTCCTCAAACCGCCGTGTGTGTAATAATAAAATCATAAGATTTTAACATAAGAACACGAGGGGGGAAATCTCTTACCGCTTTTAGTTGTTCCAGTCGGTCCTTCATCTTCAGTTCAATGTGATATGAGATTTAAGATTACAAATAGCTGTAGTGGGCAATGTAGAAGGTAAACAGCAGCGACGTCGTCTTCAGTCTGGATAATGTTAGCTAGAAAACATGTTAATTACAGTATGAATGAACCAAGTTCCTCGGGATTCTTACTTTAGACACTCTCAAAAATAAAAAATAGTGGCTTTATTATGGGAAAAAACAAACAAACAATATGGCAGTGTCGCTCTTGTCTTGTAGTTGTCCTAAACCTATCCTCTCAGAGCGGATTAGAGCAACAGTTGTGTGCTGGGTAGTTAATCTTCCTCTACCAAGGTGCTCCTTTTTCTCCACTAACACACATGGGACTACCCCAAACTATGGGACTAGGACTGAGACTTAAATATAATAAAATGAAGGAATGCTTTACATAAAAATGGAAATAAATCTATTTTTAAATGAACAAATTAAGACATATTTAAAACTACTTAAAACTAAAATGTAGTTAAATAATAAAAAAACAAAAAAACAAGTTATGCTTAAATTTAATTTCTGCCATCCAACATAAAACAAAAAAAGTCAAGAGTGGTTGGGACGAGTTGAGGGACTTTTGAAGTACTGAAAATTATTAAAATCGATTTGCTTTTTTTAAAGCAGTAACTGAAACACTATCACAATCAAGACTGCGAGTAATTCATATTGTTATAAGGACAAGAATTGAGCAGTTAGTTTGCATATTTATTTTCTGCCAGCAAAAACAATTCAAAAAGAAGTCAAAACATCAAGCAGTTTCACAAATCAGCACATTGACTTAAAGTCAGTCTGACACAGCTTATATGAGACAAAAATAAAGATTTCCCATTCCATTAAAAAGATATTTAAAGAAACAAAAAAATATACGAAAACTTAAGAGAAAGAAAATCTTCATCTAAAACATGCATTGCTCTTATGAAGAAACGATTCAAAATTCAAACTGAGTTGCAATATAAGGCCAGATTTGGACAGAGCATTAATTTATTATATACGGTCCACAAGTATTTAGTCTTTGTATAGTTCTCGCAAGGACAAACAAAATGTCTTTACCTGTAAGGATGTAATGTGAGATATATTCAACACAACTGTCGAAGTGCTTTTGTTTCTTACAACTCTTCATTTAAATCCAACGGATGGTCAAAATATGAAAGGAAGAAGGGGGAAAATGGGAAGGATGGATCAACTGCCTCAAAATGACAATGTAACATTAGCCACAAAGTAGTGCGTCATCCTTATGGTGGTTATACTGCCATTATTATGGTGGTTATACTGACACTGTTTATTACACAACATACCTCAACATTTGCTGTGTGATGCTCATGCTGTTGAATGAAAAGTCAAAACGACAGCTTTATATGTCCACAGAAATGTTTCAATCTGAGGCACCACTTTAAGGCTGCTGTAGTTTACGGACATGAATGTGTGAACTTAATTTTAGACCTGAGAATCTATATTATGCTCCCACAGAAAGAAATCAAAAATGATGTGCATCTTCACAAAAAAGTCAGTCCCTGGGCTTTGAAAATGTGTACTCAGCACAACAGTAACGGTCTAAAAGCAAATCTTCCATGTGCAATTGAAACTGTGATTACTGGTATGAGAGCATGGTGAAGAGTATATAGTCACTGTGTTGAAATGAGACAGTCCATGACATTTATTTATCTGTAGAGATAGTCAGCTTGGATGTTGGCAGCGATCTCAGCCTCCCACTTGTCTCCATTGTTGAGGAGTTTCTCCTTGTTATAAAGCAGTTCCTCATGAGTCTCTGTGGAGAACTCAAAGTTGGGACCCTAAGAAAAAGACAGACAGGAAAAGGTGGACATTAACTCCAGTAAATCTGGTCATATAGAATGTATTCATCCTAATGGAGATTTTAATTTAAACACCTGCTTATTTTGTACATTAGACTTCTCATGCTGCGCAATATCGCAATTATTCTCCAAACAATTTAATGCACATTATATAATATGTGACCCTGGACCACAAAACCAGTCTTAAGTAGCACGGGTATATTTGTAGCAATAGCCAACAATACATTGTATGGGTCAAAATTATCGATTTTTCTTTTATGCCAAAAATCATTAGGATATGAAGTAAAGATCATGTTTCATGAAGACATTTTGTAAATTTTCTACCGTAAATATATCAAAACTTAATTTTTGATTAGTAATATGCATTGCTAAGAACTTCATTTGGACAACTTTAAAGGCAATTTTCTCAATATTTAGATTTTTTTGCACCCTCAGATTCCAGATTTTCAAATAGTTGTATCTCGGCCAAATATTGTCCTATCCTAACAAACCATACATCAATGGAAAGCTTACTTATTCAGCTTTCAGATCTCAATTGACCCTTATGATTGGTTTTGTGGTTTAAAAATTAGGGGTCAGCAAGATTTCATTAAAGAAATGAATGATATTATTCAGCAATGAAGCATAGATTTAATTAAAAATGACAGTGAAGACATTTATAATGTTACAAAAGATTTCCATTTCAAAAATGCTGTTCTTTTAAACTTTCTGTTCATCAATGAATCTTGAAAAAAAAGTGCTACTTTTTTCACAATTAAACAGCATTATGCAACTATTTTTTTATATAAGATAATAAAGTTGATAATAATAACCATCAAAATCACCAAATCAGTATATTAGAATGATTACTGTAATGACTGCTAAAAATTCACATTATATTTTAAAATATAAAACGGTCATTTTTTTAATTGTGATAATATTTCACAAGATTACGGTTTTATTGAATTTTGATCAAATAAATGCAGCCTTTGCGAACATAAAAGACTTCTTTCAAAAACATAAAAAAAAAAAATCTTACTGACCCCACATTGTAGTGTATATTGTATTTGTTTTCTCTCACTATATTCTTTATATTGTATTGTGCTGTATTAGCTTTTTCCTCAATTTCCACAGTTCCACTAGAAGCCAGTTTGAACGCATTAAACAACCTGTTAAAAGACATGATGAGTAGTTGAAACGTGTGCTGCGAGATGCTCACCTCTACAATAGCATCCACAGGGCAGGCCTCCTGGCAAAAGCCACAATAGATGCATTTGGTCATGTCTATGTCATAACGCGTTGTTCTCCTGCTGCCGTCGGCACGAGGTTCTGCCTCAATTGTGATTGCCTGAGAGAGAGAAAAATATGGAGGTCACTTTGCACATTTATATTTCTCTTCTAATTCACATGTGCAAATAATTAAACCTGCATGCAATTACTGCTTGTCATTAAGCCCCGTTCACACCAAGAATGATAACTATAAAGATAAAGATATTAGCATCCACACCAGCGGATGATATTGTCTGTTTATTATAAGCGCACGCTCGTCTGCCGCTTTAAATTCTCGAGCTCGTTATAGCAAGATTGATTCTGATTGGGTGTCAATGTTTGTATTGTTCATCAGCTGGAAAAAAAAATCGTTCTGAAAGTGATTCCAACGATATCGTTTCTCTGTGCCTTTATCGTTATAACTGTAGTGTGGGCTATTCTTTAATATTGAGACTGATTTCTTTATCATTATCTTTATATTTATTGTCCTTGGTGTGAACGGGCCTTTACACTGTCAAGTTATATTAGAATGAACAAGGCCAATCAGAAAGAAAGTATACCTGGGCTGGACAAATGGCCTCACAAAGTTTACACGCAATGCACCGCTCCTCTCCAGAGGGGTACCTGCGCAGCGCATGCTCCCCACGGAAACGGGGCGACAGAGGGCCCTTCTCGAAGGGGTAGTTGATTGTGGCAGGTTCACGGAAAAGGTAGCTCATGGTCATTCCCAAACCTGCATCAAGACAAACATCAGCTGGTACCTACTTTTAGAGTTATTTGTGTGATGGCTTTAAGGAAGTGCTTTAGAAGTCTCATGTTGTTACTGACCTCTGAACAGCTCTGTCCACAGAAGCGTCTGAGCCGCACGGTCCGTGATGGACTTCATATCTGTGGCTTCCTCCTGATTATTGACATACTCTGCATATAGAAAAAAGTGATGATATAGGAAAAGGTTTAATACCAAGACCATATTTTGTACCACGCGATACTTACTAATCCCTGCTCTGTGTGCAGATAGGCTGAGAGGACGTGCAAGATTTTGACTGGCCAGAAATGACCCTAAGAAGTAAGCACATGATATAATCACTCATCTGAGAAACAAGACTTTATTTTGATTTCATATACAGACATACATAAATCTCACTGTATTTGTTGCTTTTTTAAACTCATATATTGCTTCTGTTCTAATCATTCTTAGACTCACCTGGCCTGGATACGGTGTAGACCACACGTAACGCCGCAGACATCTCAGTGAAGTGCACTGTGAGTGAAAGGGACAAAGATAAGGGATGGAAACAAGGGTTTGTTATATTTATTTTCTCAGATTACAACACTAAACATACTTGTGGACATATACTAACAACTTTTAAACATCTAATTTTGAAATAATGGTAAGAAACAGGCTCATTCAAGACATTCAATATTGTATTGCACTTTAATTGGGCGAAACATTGGCAGTTACACAAAACAGTGTGCCACGACTGTAACTTCCCCTTACAGAACATAAACAAAACCCCAAATATTGGTTCCGATGACGTCGCGAGACAGCAGACACATAAATGTCGTTAATTTAAGCGCCACATATCGATTATCGCCATTTAATCTATAGACAACATGTAACACGTCCAAAATAATAAAGGAACTGTTTGACTGGGCAACCCAGATACTGTAGGACTGCAACAAGTGGCTTAGGACAGGAGATCAAGCATGTCCGTTTTAGCCGACTACTTAGCTTTCCACATATTTACTACTCACTTTCTCCAATGTGCATTTACATATTTAATCTTTGCCTAAATATCTATAACTTTGTGTTTTTATTCAAAGTTAAATGCTGTCCGTGAGGTGTTTGAAGTAGCTTAGCCACAGGCTGATTTTCTCAAGGACTTTCAATGACTATACTGCTATTATTCGTATATCCTTTATACCAATATTTGCGTTTCTAATATTGTATTAATTATATCGGTTCCACAAAATGCGGTGCATGTTCACTCAAAAGATAGATAGCGAATGCAGAGTTTAAAAACCAGTTCGCACTCACCGGACACTCGCTATTTGGCCTTCTCAACCAGAACAGCGGACGATTGAGGAAATGCACATGCAGAACACCGGAAGTGAGTGTTTTTTGTTGTTGTTGTTTTTTACAACATATAAGACAGAACACATCCGCAAAAAGATAAAAAAAAAAATATATATATAAAATACACAAATAAAATAAACATACAAAAATAAAACAGTTAATAAAACCACCTTTATTATAAACGCGTTTCTTTATGATATAAAATAGTGAACACTGTGGTTCAGAATATAAAATAATTGCAATAATAATAATAATAATCAATGCAAAATTCCATAGAGATTTGGCTTTACGAAAGAGCAATTTACAAAGAAAGAAAAAGAAATGATTAAATTAGCCGAGAGAGAGAGAGCGAGCGAGAGAGAGAGAGAGAGAGAGAGAGAGCAGCTGTTGGGTTACTACCCAGAAGGTTGGGTTAAACATTTAACCCAACCGCTGGGTCAAAACAGCCCAACTGCTGCACTGGGTTGCCCAGCACTGGGTTGTATTTAACCCAGCATTTTTAGAGTGTAGTTCACCAAACATTGTTATTAAATAAATAAATAAAAAGACCAAAGGCTTACAATTAATGATTTTTTTTATTGATTTTATTCTCAAAAGATCCTTTACTTAAACATAAGGTTTATTTTGTTTCTAATAGCCTATAATGTTCACAATTGTTAAACACTGTAGGATTAACAGTTGTTTAACAGCTGGATAAAGCTCAATAAACACTGTATTTACGTGATCAAAGTAATAATTTTCTAACCTTCTGACATGCCATAGTTTTGAAAATAGTTTCGGACTTGAGTGAGATATGAGTTGATAAAATAAGATATGCAGCTGTTTAAATTGCTAAAATGACATTTCAGAGGGATTCTTTTTCTTATACTAATATGCTACGAAGCCATTAGTGCTGTCCTGTCACTGTGAAGAAAGCTGAATAAGTGTTTGATGGTTAAAGCTTAATGAAGCAGGACCAGTTTAATTACAGAAAGCTGTGACGTATGTCTCCACGTAATCACTGTGTTCAGTGCTGTCTGTATCACATATCCACAAAACAACCGAGCGTGAAGCTTTCTTTTTTCTAATTGTTGGGATTATCTGTAGGTCTCTGCTTCAGTGACAAAGTAAGTCAATCACCTTTACACAAAATTCTCTGTCATGTTCTCTGTAATGAAGATAAATCTGTGCTGTCGAAGTGCTGTTTCATAGACTGACCAGCTCGAGTCACAGAGTGAAGGTTGATGGATAATTTTTTGAATTTCAATGCTAAATTGATTCCTGATTTCTAGAAGCTATGACATTTGAGAATGAATTCATTGGAATAATATTCTGATTCATTTCAGTGAACACTTCAGATAATATAACAGAATCAGAGGAGAATTTTTGGTCCAGAACTGAAAAGTCTGTGCTCGTTCCCATTCTCACCACTGAGATGGTACTGGGTGTTTTGGGAAATGGATTGGTTTTGATAGTCAAAGTTGTGGTAAGAATGATATATAATTTTATAAAATAATATATAATTTTATTTAAAAAAGAAAACAAATGAAAAAAGAATTTTTTTAGGGATGCAATCAGTTTTAAAATATAATGCCTCATGCCTTTGTTTTTTTTTGCTCTCTCACAGTGTAAAGACCATTTTCAGTGCCTTTACTGGCTGCCACTTTTCAGTCTCACGCTCTCAGATTTCCTCTGCTCCATCCTCATGATCTGTGGCTCCCTCTTAGCCGTGCTGAGTGAAGGGCAGATTTCACCGTGGTGTGAGGTTGTGAGCCTGCTAAAGTTCACCTTCATCACCTCTTCCATTGGAAGCATAGGTATGGCTATGACAAGGAACAATTGACCTCTGTGGGATATCTCTAATACTGCTTTCATTGTAATTAACAATAAAGAACAATAAATAAACACCCTATTGTACACCTGAATGGTTGCAGGAGGGTGCATTGGACACTGAGGAAAGAAGAAGAATCATGTACTCTGTCGTAGCTTCCATTTGAATATTTATTGAAAAAGCAATGTTCAGAAATGCAGACAATTTGACGTTTTAATATTTCTTAAAAGCAATGTTATAATTAGTTATAAAATGTTATGGTTTAAAATAGTTTTTTTTTAAAGTTAATATTCTTCATATTAAGCAAGTCTTTTAATTTGAGTTTCAATGTTCTACAATCTACAAAAAAGTTTTGTCGAAATAATAAATTTTTTTTCTGCGTTGTTCTCAGCTTATATTTAATTACAAGTAAATATAACATTAAAAAAAAAGGTTTTATTATTATTTGGTTATTTAAAAATTCTTAATATTATTTAAGAAAGTCTTTAAACTTTAGTTTCAAAGATTTTTTTTTATTTTTTAAATTGGGATGATTTAGAAAAGTTATTCTAAAAACTGAAAATTAACTTCTCATTTGTGCCTTAAAAATAATCAATAAATGATCAAAAACAGCTATCAATAGAAAAGGTATGTCACAATAATACCAATCTTTTCTTTGCTTGAGATTGTTTACTAGTTTTTTTCATTATTATAAATAATAAAATATTTAATATTGCTTATTATTTGGTTATGTAAAAAGGGTTAAATTCTTAATATGATTAAAGTAAGTCTTTGAACTTGAGTTTCAAATATGTTTTTAAATATATTTTTTAGAAAGTTCAAAAGAACATCATTTATTTGAAATCACAATGTTTTGTAACATTATAAATGTCTTTATCTTTACTGTCACTTTTGATCAATTGAATGTGCCTTGCTGAATAAAAAAAGTATATATATATATATATATATATATATATATATATATATGTATGTATATATGTATTAAGGTGAATTAGAAAAAGTTATTCTGAGAATGAAACTCCTCATTTGTGCCTTAAGAATGTATCTATAAAAAAAAGAGTTATATCACAATAATACCATTCTTTTCTTCTTTGTCCTCAGCAATTCTCTGTGTTCAGAGATATATGGGAATTCCTTCCAAAGGCAAAAAGCTGTCTGTTCTCATGGCGGTGGCATGTGTAGCATCATGGTGCACTGGAGCTATATTTGGAGCAGTACCAGTAGTCTATGACTGGATAAAGTGAGTGAAGATGCTTAGAAATGCTCAAAATTTAGGCATCAACATGACTTCTCACTATACTCTGCATGCCATTTTCAGGTATGATCCAGCAGAAATGCTGTGTGCAGTTTTCTGGGAAAGCAGTTACTCTGACATGCTGGTTTACATCCTCTGTGCCTTCTCCATCTCCATATTCATCCCATTTCTCCTCATACTCTTCTGCTCCATCCTGACTTGTGCTGGCTATGGGAAAGACAGTTCCAGGTTTGTAGAGTTGGAAGTAGTGAACACAGAATTCTGAAAGTTTTCATATGGATTTTTAAAGGAATAGTTCATTCAAAAATGAAAATTTGCTAAAAATGTACTCAACCTCGGTCCATTCAAGAATTTGTTTCATCATTAAAATATGGATAAATTTATCATTACATCACTTGCTCACCAATGGGTCCTCTGCAGTGAATGGGTGCCGTCAGAATGAGAGTCCAAACAGTTGACAAAAACATCACAATAATCTAATCAAACATGAAGCTTTTTGCTCCACAAGGCATTAAATGATGGACTGGAGTTGTGTGGATTATTGTGAATTATTGTGATGTTTTTATCATCTGTTTGGCCTCTCATTCTGACGGCACCCATTCACTGCAGAGGATCCATTGGTGAGCAGGTGATATACCGGTAAAGCTAAATTTCTCCATTTTTCTGTCAACAGTTTAAATGTCCACATTTTATCGAGCCAGGGTGACCTGTCCTCTATCACGCCACTGCTGGTGATCTTGTATCTGCTCTGCTATGCGCCATTTGCTGCATCTGAGGTGAGAAAAATCTGTTAGTGTGGAATCATTTTCTGTTTTGTTAATTTTTTAGGAGTCAAAGTCAAAATTCTGTTTATTCTTGTTTTGTTAGTTGGTTCTCCTTGGAAGGCTTGATTTGTCCCCATCCCCTGAATGGCTGCGATCACTGTCATCAGTAATGGCATATCTGGACTGTGGTTTAAACCCCTTTATCTACTGCACAAATAAAGACTTCCGAAAAGCAGTACTCATACTGTTCTGGAACAAAAGGAGATCAGCTTTTCCCGATCCAGTGCTGACCGGCATTACGAGGCTTGAAATATGAAGATTTACAAGCAATACGATTTTTTTCCCCCTGTGCAACACATTTTGAAAATGCATCTCATCATGATTTTAATAAGAAGAAATGACACTCTGTCTCATGGCTAGATGTGTGCTGAGATTTCAGTAAAGGCCGACATGCAGCAAATAAAAAATTCTAAAGATGTTTTGCTCAAAGTTTTGTTTTAATGCGTCAAGTTAAGGAATATATGACAGGCTGTCTATAATTATATTGTGCATTTACATTCATTTTGTATTCATCTTCAAATTGACAAACCTGAGAATGAAGCTTAGGACATGACATCATGAACTACACACACACATTAAAATACATCAAATAGTGAATTTGTAAACACACACACACACATTGGTTTTTATGGTTTATGGGGACTCTTCATAGGCGTAATGATTTTTATACTGTAACGGCCTATATCAACCCTACACATACCCTTTACAGAAAACTTTGTGCATTTTTAGATAAAAAAAAAAAAAACTAAATCTGACTGATTTTTAAGCCTTTTGAATTACGGGGACACCGAAAGTGTCCTCATAAATCACCTTCACGCTGTAATACCTCTGTCACACCTATATGTCCTCATAAACCACATAAACAAGCACACACACACATACAGTATATTGATTTGATAATACTGTATTCTACTAGATGAAATCCAAGTATTTCACATATATGAGTTTTCCTTAAAAATCAATTAATTACAAAGTTATTTTCTGACTGTTTTGAACAAAACTGAACAAAGCATCAAATTAGTTTAATTTTACAAATCTTTGATCACATTAATCGTTAGAATTTGTACATGTCAGTGACATAATATTACTGTTGAAGACAAGACTAAATTAGGGTTCGTACATGTTATGTTCATTGCCTTATTATTCAGCTGAATAAATGTATGCGCATTTATGAAGAGCGTTTGTGTGCATTTTCACTAAGGCGGGTGAGAAAACAAAAGCTGTAATGAAACTGCAGAATGTCGCAAACTTTGGACCAGAAATGTCCAGTAAGATTTTGAAACACCCAGTACTCGGCAAGAGAATGATCCAGAAGCTTGAGAACCACGAAACCAGCGCAGGACAGCAGGGCCAAGCAGAGGTAGCGCATGGACGCAGTGTCTCCTAGGCTCATGTGCGCTCGGACGCCTTTGAACACGGCGAAGGCGATGTGACAACCCAGGGCTACTTCAAACCCTCGGTCGTGAAAGAGCGCCAGTCCATAGCTGAGAACAGAGCACGATTCCACCATCAAGGCGTAACGGGACGACCAGCCTTTGTCAACGACATGATACCACACCAGCACCCACGCGAAAATAGGTAAAGTGAACCACTGGTCCAAAACAGAGGGCGTGCGCCGCAAGGTGGCCAAACGGACCCACTGCACCGGCCCATAGGCCACTGCCATTAGCGCAAACACGTCTTTGGTGTAGACGGCTGTACAGGTGTCTCTATTGTCTGACATCGGTTGCAAGATCCAGTAGATACCTAATAATATGTATCCCAAGTTTATCAGACAGTTAAACGGCATGGCCAAGAAAGCAGGAAGGTTGTCGACTTTCTTTTCCGCATAGTGATCATAAGTGACATCCACCAAAACGTTGTCGAAAATGTGAGTGTTTGCAAGCGCAATGCAAAGCAGGAAAGGTATGAGAACGTGGACGAGCGCTGACATTGCCATTTTCTAATAAAAAGGAGAGTCCAGTTCAAAAGGACAGTAGCAAAACAAAGTACAAAACACTGGTTGGCTTCCGCATTATAGATCACGTGACGACCACTGTAGCCTTTCATTGGTTACGACAGTGAGCTGGGAATTCTGTACAACCATTCTGCTCATACTAGTTTTGTATAATGCGGTATGTATGAAGGCTATCTGTGTACAGTGAGCATATTTCCTGTATATGGAATAGCCCAGGGTTGCAAAACTCAGTTCCTGTAAAGCACCTAAAGCACCCAATCCTTTAGGCTTACTGTAAAACTACAAAAAGTCCTACTACAATCAAGTCTTGCAGGCTTACTGGAAAACTACATGGCATGTGTGTTAGAGCAGGGTTGAAACTGGAATATACATTTGGAATCAACATTTGTAACCATGGACCACAAAACCAGTCATAATGGTCAATTTTTAAAAACTGAATACATAAGCTTTCCATTGATGTATGGTTTGTTAGGATAGGACAATATTTGGCCGAGATACAACTATTTGAAAATCTGGAATCTGAGGGTGCAAAAAAAAAAAATCTAAATATTTGAGAAAATCGTCTTTAAAGTTATCCAAATTAAGTTCTTAGCAATGCATATTACTAATCAAAAAATAAGTTTTGATATATTTACGGTAGAAAATTTACAAAATATCTTCATGGAACATGAGCTTTACTTAATATCCTAATGATTTTTGATATAAAAAGTAAATAATTTTGACCCATACAATGTATTGTTGGCTATTGCTACAAATATACCTGTGCTACTTATGACTGGTTTTGTGGTCCAGGGTCACATTTGCCAAAATATGCAACAAGCCATGTAAATCAATGAAATCAAATTACATTAACATTTTTTTTTACTCCAAAATATTTTAATGGGGTTGAAAAAAGTACAAAATATTTATAAAAATTCTCATCCCGTAAATCATGAACACTTGGGAAAGTCACAGGGCCTTTGAATCAAAAAGGCTGAGAACCATTGCAGTATTACAGCACAGTATACAGTAAGCAGTGAGTGGATGTGTATATGAATGAGCACATATCTATCTGTGAAAGCGTGCTGAGATATGTGTTTATACTGTATGAAACCATACATCAATGGTCATTAGTGTTAATTTACGATCAGGAATGTAGTCCAACGATTAAGTGGAAAGTCCCAGAAGGAGTTCTTCAGACATTCCTGTTTGTCAAGTTTGTCTGACCAATACGCTTACTTCTAGCTGGCCAGTCCTCCTGCAATGACAAAAGGTTTATTTGGCATTTCTTGTCTTGAATTCTCTAGGATTTTTTTCTTGAAGAGATGTTTCCTGGTTTTCTGTCAACATGCAGACTCTACAGTAAAAACTGGGTTGAATGCTTGAATCTATGAAAAATAACATAGTGTTAAGACACATTCACATTGTGTTTAAACTGTGGGCAGGCATTATTGAGTTAATATTTGACAGTTTCCCTTTGTATTACGATCAGCTGCAAATTTTAATATCAGCACTTTAATGCAAAGCTGTTTAATGTAGATTTAATATTTAATGCAGTATACATTCAAGAACTTCTATTAATTTCATAGGCTGAAAGAAGGTGGAACGTGAGATCAAATTTAGAAAACAGGTTTGGGCAGTACAGAAATGCTTGACTATAAAAGGAAGAAGGCAGTGACTGAGAGACGAAGGCACAAGGTGCTTCACACAGGTTGCACAACTACTTTGTGTGTGCTATTGATTGGTTTGAAGAAAAGAGACCATAAGGTTTAATACACTTCAGACTGATGAAGCAATGCTGGATATGACATGAAGGGTGAATGTAAAGGACCTGTAACGGATGAATGAAATGAGAGACTATGGAGGAACAAACAGCAAAGGTATGAAAAATAGATGCTAGATATAATAGATAAGATTCCTTTGCAAAAACGCATGTAAGTTTTTAAAGAGCACAAAAAGATCAAATATGATAAGATTTGTATGATATATAATATATAAGAGTAAATGGGATGTCACAAGTATTGTAAACAAAATACAAAGTAGTACTACTAGTACTAAAACACTCTTAAAAATAAAGGTTTGTTTGGCATCAATGGAACCTTTAACACTCATGGAATCTTTCCATTGCACAAAAAGTTCGTTATAGTGGAAAATGTTTCCTTAGATTATTAAAATGTTAATAAAAAAGGTATGTTTATAAGAACTGTTCAAACGGTGAATAATGCCATAAACTAATATTCTAAGAACATAATATGTCTCTTTTCATGCAGAGCGATGTGAGGAATGGTCTGCGGAATGATATTCCACGACTGCAGTCTATGCTGGCAAAACTTAATCTAAAACACAAACATCCCAAAACAGACAATGTTAAATTACACCCAGATACAGCCTGTAAAAGTGTGTTTTACCATTCTCTAAAACATGAAGAATGAATAAAAAATGAAGACGACAGGAAAGATAGCACAGTCAGATCTGATGATGATGAGGAGCAACCAACTAGGAGTTCTGAAACAGAAGATGGAAATGAAGCTGTTGAAGAGGTCAAAGAGCTTCCAGATGCGTTTCCTAAATGGGAGAGGAAGAGTTTACTCCCTGCCTCTTTGTCCATAGAAACCCAAGTGGCAAAATTAAGTTGTCAGCCAAGAGAAAGTGAGTCTTTGGAGGAGAAAAAGAGCAAAGAGATGGAAGAGCATGTGGCTGGAGCTGCATTATTGCCTAACAATCAATCTCAAGAAACATCTGCACACACATCTTACCTCTCTGTGTCCTCAGATAAAGTGGACTCTGCACAGGTGGGGTTGAAGCATGAACCACTAGATGAAGCTTGTGGTGGTCCTTCAAAACCAGTCAGTATGGATACGAGCAGGATTCTATCCCATCAAACAGCTGTGAATGTTACAGGCAAGACAACAAGGTCTGCTTCAGATCCAGTAACCCGCAAGCCTAAGGAAGAGAGACCCCTCTCAGCTCCAAGTATTTCAAACCTACGGGAATATGAAAAGTATGACGATTTTGCAAATGCAATGCCAGCCAAAAGCTTCAGCAAAGCTGCTAAGATTTTGGGACAGGAGTATTCAGGCATGAGCATCGGAAATGTGGAACATGACAACTCGCTCACCAAAACGCAAAAGAAAGGTGTGAAAAACAAAATGAAGAATCTTACTCAAAAACTGATGGAAAAGCTTAAAGATAAACATGATTGTGTGAACACTGGCAGCAAGAGCACACAAGACAGCCTGGAAGAAGAAGAAGCACAAAACGTATGTATACTTCCTCATACTTCTAATGTAGAACTTACTTCTAATCTCTTACACGAAGAATGAACGTAAATCAATGTTGTGACTTATAATTAACTTTTTTAGTTCATATTTAACTATTGCACTTTTCATTGGGTTGCTTTTCAAACCTAAATCACAATGAATCACCTTGCAGCTGAATTCCATGGAGGTGGAAGCCGAGGCTCAAGAGATTCCACCACCACTTCCACCAAAAATGGGCAAATATGTTTTCTTAGACAGGTGGGACATGCTAAACACAACCATCAGTGTTGTTTTAGTATTATTTATATACTGTTATGGTATTTGTTAATAATTTGAATTCACTTTTTATTTTAATTTTAGTTTACGTTTTAGTCATTTTGTGCGCTTGTCATTTTTCTTAAAAATATTTAAGGAATTTTACAGTCCTGTTCCACATGTACGTACTATGTACTTACAATAGTGATTGCAATAACTGGGTAATAACTAGGTACTAACCCAGAACCTAGACCTAAGCTTAACCTTCTATACAGTACTTTCTTAGGTAAGTACATTGTAAGTACATGTAAGCACAAATACTGTAACATAAAGTGCAACCAAAATATTTGTAAATAGCTTTAGTTTATTTCAGTTTTAGTTTTAGCAATTTTATTGCTTTTTTATTTCAATTGATTTTTTGCTTTTTTGTTTTATTTCATATTAATTTAAATAAACTAAAATGATTTTGAATAGTTTTAGGTTTAGTTAATGACAACAACACTGCAAACAACAACATTTTCAGAAAAAGTTAATGGCGAGAAATACTTTTAATTGGACAATTATGCATTTCAGATGATAAACAGACAAATTATATACTATACAGACACTTATCTTTGGCATATGCATAATATCTTTTATCCTTTTTCCATTTGAAACTTTGTTTTACAAAATTTACAACACTTCCTTGATTGTAGCATTGCCCAGTCAACCTATGCATAAATCAGAGCACTTATTTCTGGTTCTGTGACATTCCTTTTATCTGAAGTGACGGGACAAATCAAACACAAACATGCACGTTGTAACAGAGATTTGGGTTACACTTTATTTTAAGGTGTACTTGTTACAGTGTAATTATACATTTAAGTACTGAGTAATATTAATTAACCACATGTACTTACTATATGGTTAGGGTTAGGATTAGGGTTTGACTTAGGGTTACTTGCATATAATTATGCATAATTTATTGTTATTATAATAGTATGTAACGTGAAACAAGGACACCTTAAAATAAACTGTTACCGAGATCTGTTTCTCTTTAATTGTTGCTCTTTAATGCTGCATGTTAGTCCACATAAAATGAGACTCCTAAATAAGGAAAACCTGTTAAAAGTGAACGGCAATGATCTGTTAAAGGATTAACGGGGGAAATAAACACTAAGTGCATTGATAATTAAAATCACTTTGAGGGAAAAGGTTTGCATTTACAAATTCTACAATTAGGGATGTAAATACCTACAGTTTGCGCTAGTTAAAACCATTAAAATAAAACCATCAAACCTGTGTTTCAAATTCAGTTGACTTATTAAATTAATCTAATATTTCTTGTCTTTCTGAGCAGAAGATTTACCCTAAAAGACTTCAAACTCAATCTTGAACCGATCAACTTAATGGAAGAAATATTCACAGGCAGCGAATGGCTCAGTTACTTACCCATCAAAGAAAGTCCAGCTGAGAAAGACACTAGTGATCAGTCAATGACAAATGATGTTCTCCAACCAGAAAAGGACATTCAGCTCGAAGTTCCTCTTCCAACATCAGACCAGAACCAGTCTGAGGACATAAAGAAACCAGAGGAGCACCAGTCAGAGGACATAAAGAAACCAGAGGAGCACCAGTCAGAGGCCATAAAGACACCAGAGGAGGACCAGTCAGAGGACATAAAGAAACCAGAGGAGCACGAGTCAGAGGCCATAAAGAAACCAGAGGAGCACCAGTCAGAGGACATAAAGAAACCAGAGCAGGACCAGTCAGAGGACATAAAGACACCAGAGCAGGACCAGTCAGAGGACATAAAGACACCAGAGCAGGACCAGTCAGAGGACATAAAGACACCAGAGGAGGACCAGTCAGAGGACATAAAGGACAATCAAGACAGTGCTAGTGATCCTCAAGAGGACAATGTAGCAAAAGTGAACAGTGGCTTGGATGTAAAACAAGTGGAATGGGATGCAAACATATTTGCTATACCTAAGGCACTGCTAACAAACAATGCAATACAACAAAGAGCTTGTGAGTCAAACAAATCAGATGACGTCTATGACTGTGTGGACATGTATATTATTCCCAAAAATGACTTTCCATTAATGAAAAGAAAGGCATCAGATGCTCCGCTGGACTTTTCAGCAGTCAAGGTGGAGAACGCTTTTGTACATTTTCTGTACTGGAATTTTATGTTAATATATGAGAGACAATTATTTTTTTTTAGTTTTATTTTAACTTAATAAGTGGAATAAATGACACATTTTTTTATCTCTCTTAGTCATCTGAATTGCTGAACAACTCTGCCCTCAAGAGTCGAATTCGTCTTAGCAAAAAGAGACACCACCAACCACCTAAAAAGCACAAAAAAGGTGAGAAAAAGCTGAGGAGGGTTGGAATGAATTTACTGAATGAGAGCAATGAGCATGAGATTTATTTCACTCGTTTTCTGTTCCAGTAAAAACAGAAACGTTAAGCGCCATATTCTACAAGATTCCTCCGGTAATCCTGAATGAATCTCCTGTCAGCGCATCTCCACCACGTCACAGCATTCCCTTTTCCACGTCTCCTCCTCTGCATGTACCATCACGTCCATACCACTTCTGACCATACCAGATCTATCGTCTGCATTTGTCAGGTCAGTAAAGTCACAGCAGCAGTCATTAGTCTATGAAACCCCAAAGCAAAGCACAAACAGAGAAAGACCGTATTGCATCAAATCTATTTAATTGTTCATGTGATCATTGTATTAATAGTGTGCCTTGTTTTATACTTCCTCGGCAGATTAAAAGATACCTCGACTGTAAAGACTGGAAATTTACTGGTGTGCAAAAGATGGGGGACATTACAGTGGATAATCCATTTGCCAGAAGAACTAATCTTTTTCACATAATTATTTTATTAATAATTTTCAAAAAGTAATTAATGTAATGATTTGCCATGTCAATATACAGGTTTTTACTACTGAAGTTAATAATACACCTGTTCATTCACCACTGCTGATTAACTGTAAAGTACAGTAAATCATCAGTCTTTTCCCAGTCCTTATTATTATGCAATTAGGCAAAATATCTATATATAATATATATGTAATATTATCATGTAATATCATGTGTGTGCCTTTTGCTGTCTTTAGAATCCACTAATGAATTGTAAATCACCAACATGTATTAAAATGTATTCACTAAACATTTTATCTTACCACTAAGAGTTCTCCCAAATAGCAGTAAAAGTTTTTAGCTAAGAGTTTTCTCTTAAAACCTATTCACAAAGCTGCTGAGACAAACTTTTACTAAGGAATAGAGAGAAGTCTTAAAGGGGTCATATGATGCGATTTCAAGTTTTCCTTTTTCATTACACCAAATACACAAAATAATGATCTTTAAAAAAGCATCATATGACCCCTTTAAGCTAAGAGTAAGGGCGGGGTTGACCTCTTTGCTATAGATGATGTCAGCATGCTTACTAACTATGCGCACAGTGATTGGCTGATAGTCTCTGTCAGAGATTTATTCATGGCAATATTTTAGAGTAAAGATAAAGGTTTAAAAATAAAAATGTTGCCACATTCAAATAAAGATTTTAAAATGCAGGCTAAGTGTCACTAATTAAACAAGTA